GTAACGTAAAGGAATACGTTACAGAATACATTTTGGGGCATGTATTCTGTATTCTGTAATGGAATACATTTAAAAAGTAACCTTCCCAACACTGTCCGTATGTTTATGCACGACTACGTTATGATGGTTGTTAATAATCAGAATCAGAATTCTTTAGTAATCCGAGAGGAAATTATGTGGCCACAGTTGCTCCAACATGGTACGAACTTTAACTAAACTAAACTAAACAGGAATCAGCTGACAAAAAAAAAATCAACTCTTTTCAAATCTTCAGTCCACTGAACATCAGCCTCACTTTTCCAGGTGCTTGAAGACTTTCCAAACATGGAATCTTAGAATCTTAACATTTCCAGCTCCATATTTTTTTTTTTTATCTTTTGACTCTGCTTGAGTAGCTTAGCATGATTCACATCTCAAAATAATCCTTCTTTATTTGATATGGAGTCTTGGTGCAGGCCCTCAGTTCATTCTCTCTCCCTCCTGACCACATTATTAGAAATGTTTAATGTGATTATCCATGGCTGGAACAAGATCTATGTCAGGAAATAAAGAAAAACACAATTGATCCACTTCAAGATGAGCTTTCCTTCCAACTTATATCTTGAGTGCAGCTGCTAGTTTCACATACAGATAACGTGTCCATGATGATTTTCCTCCTCAGACAGAGCAGTAACACAAACAGCTGCTGAGTGAAGCAGATCTGTGGCGTCTCTGCGCTACAGAAACAAGAAGAAAGTCTGGATAAGCACGTGGTGATGCTCACGTTCTTTCTGATCCACTTCTGCATCCATTGGTGGGAACTGAAAGTGTAACCTTGGATAATCTCATACTTAGGAAGCTGGTCGAATGATGGTAACAACACTGTAGTCAAAGGAGCTTGGAAAGAAAAGCGTCTGGACTTCTTTAAGTTGCTTGAAGACGTTTCACCTCTCATCCAAGAAGCTTCTTCAGTTCTAAGGTCAAATGGTGGAGAGTCCCAGATTTAAATCTGCAGGAGTTTTCCCCCAAAGAGGGACAAAAGGACCCCCTGATGATCCTCTACCTAATCACATGAGCCAAGGTGTGAAAACGGGTGTGGGTCACAAACACAGTTGTGCACGTTCAATGCAGACAACATGATTCAGACCCCTTCACATTCACCCTCTTGTTTTTGTGCAAGAAAAAAACAGAAGTGTGTCCACCGGACTCTCGGAGTGAGCACAAACTTTTGTTTTCTTTGTGTTCTCACTTTTACTATAAAGTCAGGAACTCCTTCTGATGTGGTGAAGGTGTCTTTAAGTGGTTCAAACCTTTTGACTCACGGGGCTTTGAGCTTTCAGACTTTGTGCACTGATAATAAAGCAGCAGTATTTTCATTCAGATTTTTAATCTGGGTCATTCGTCCTCAGTTTCCCTGCATATACTTTCACTCCGTTGTAGGACTGACCAGTGTTAATTGGGCCAAATGAGGCCAAGAAGTCATGGCAAAAACTCACATCTGTCCAACATGAGGTGAATATAGGTGGAGGCAGCTACACTCACCCTAAAAGTCCATTTTTCTTTGAAACGGCTTTCACAGGTTAGCAAAGTGTTTTATTTGGGTTACGTTACGTTTGCAAAGTGTTAAACGGGCTTGGCAGATGTGAGTAGCTCTGCACTCATTAAGCTTCCTGTTTCGAGCACTAAACTCAGCAGAGGTGCTAAAAAAAGTCACTCCAGGTTGAAAAGAGGATGTGCTGTGACTTTATGTGCAGGCCTACTCATGAAAAGTCCACATTTTCCCTCACGTGACTTCTATCTTGTTTTTTTCAGTGTGCGATCCAGCCGCAGGTTACTCTTCGATGCACGTAACAAGCGAAGTCAGTTACGGAGAAATCGCCATCAGGAAAAACAGCAGGCACAGAGGTACAGCTGCTCCTCTTTCATACTCGCTGATCTTCTGCAGGATCTGGTTTAAGTGCACAGATGCTGTTTGTACAGAGGAGGAGGAAGTCGGATCACTTCGACCCCTCCACACTGTAAAACCTAATCAAAGCCTAAATGCAATAGAAGAAGACGAATGGGGTCAGATTCATCCTGCATCTGCACAGTAGAGCTCCACAGAGCAGACAGGAGAGCATCAAACTCTAACATGAGGAAAATGTTGAGGTTTAACACAAATACTGAAAGTAGCAGAGCTGCTGCAGACGAAGCAGCAGAGTGTGACCCACAGTAAGTATGAAATACTATATGAACGTGTGAGTGTGTTACACCTCTTAGTGCTCAGGAGGACCGAACATAACCACAGCCTAACGAACCATTAAAAAAACACAATCATTTATTACTGAAAATAGATCTAATGTTTGTCTGTGAAGGTTCTCAGTCATCCAGGTCATCGTAGTCAAAGGAGCTTGCAAAGAAAAGCGTCTGGACTTCTTTAAGTTACTAGAAGACGTTTCACCTCTCATCTGAGAAGCTTCTTCAGTTCTAAGGTCAAATGGTGGAGAGTCCCAGATATAACCCTAGTGGGAGTATCCCCCCACAGAGGGACAAAAGGACCCCCTGAGGATCCT